TTCCTGTACCTTATGGTTGTCTGATGAGAGCAAGACCCAAGGTTCTTGGTCTGAAAAATAAAAATTCTCGCGCCGAAGGGGTCAACCAGCCCAGTTCAGCTCGTCGCCACCTGCTCCCTCCTCCTTTGATGGCGAAGCCAGGTTACTGAGGCAATGCAGCGCCCTCTAGCCAACCTAGGGCCGTGTACATAGTTCCCGTCCACCTTCTGACGGTGTCTGCCTCCGCGCACAAAAAATGAGATGGGCATCGCTGCCTACGCCGACGGCCAGAGGCCCGCGCATCTACATTTTTTCGCCTGACCCCATCAGTGCCGACCCAACTACACCACCCCGCGCATGCCTCGCGGCGGATAGTAGGCAAGCATCTAAAAGCGTAGTCTCCACGTCGCGGTCGATGCACACACCGTAGGTATTACTGCCCCTCGACGCCCGACGTTCTGATATCGTTATGCGTTTTATCCAGAGGGAACGAGAGCAGGGTACCAGTCTCTGGTCTCCACCACAGACAGAAATACCGCGCACCCCAAGTCTGGTTGTTGCCCATGAGTGCCACCCCGGCAACCAGCTATCTATCTAGACTATGCGGTCAGGTACGCTGTGATACACTTCGTACGGAGTCGACTGCAGATAGATATGATCGTTGTCGACCTTTTTCGAGCGAGCCAAGAAGATCGGCAACCTGACTGCCGATTGAAGTAAGGACGTACCCGTCGTCGTACGGCCTGGTCTATATCCTCATTAGGCGGACATACTTGGTCTGCGTAACCTGCGGGTTGCGGACCTGAATGTCACAAGCTGTTCGGCACCACCATCATCAGTCACAACGTGCCCGACGCCGGATTATTGGTGCAGTGGTATAATACAAGACGAACGAACGTGACCCGGGAAGTGTCAAGATCTGCGTCGTCAGTGACTCCTTATCTACCCCGCCGCCCTCCGAACGTCTCCTCTTCTTTCTGCGGGTGACAAAGACGTAAGACGACAACCACAACCGCACTCGAGTGTTGTTGCGTGCGTGTTGCGTGGTCTCAGTTCAACACGAGGAATCCATTTTTCTCCTTCAAGGACCTTACAAGGCAGCCATGGCGAATGCGAACGAAGAGCTTCCTCCGGAATATACCATCATCACGGGAGCTTGGGTGCTTGACTTGTCCAGGTAAGATATTTCTTGGTGTGCTTTGCGATCGAGCTCGGTGCTATTGGTGGGGTTTCCTATGGCGGTCCAACGTGCCTACCGGGCGACGCGAACCCTTGTTCATGCTGCATGAATTGTACTCCGAGTATCAAGGTATCGGATCCACGTACTTGGAATAATAGCACAAGCCTGTTTTTTGTCGTGGTAGGCGAACTTGCCCGCCATGGAAACGTCCACACGAAGATGGCACTCGCCTTCGTAGGGAGGACCTCCGAAATCTACCCGGGGATGGAGGAAGTGCAAGAAAGTGCAAGGTCCAATTGGCAAATAAGGGGTTAGAATGGGACCTTGCTCGTATTGAACTCTGAAACTGGTTTCAATGCTGCAGTACTACAGAGTATAGTCTAACAGCGAGGGCAGGTTTGGGTAGCATTTGCCCTCGAGTGCGAACAAGTCAACGTGTTTGGGTTGCTTGAGTCACCTGGACACAGCCAACCACGGCACGCCGACGTGCAAAGTAACCACCACCGGGGTTAAGATGCTAAGACAAGGGGGGCTCGCTGGCAGAGCGGCAGGAGGGGTCCTTTAAACCTGATGAAAACGAGATTCCCTGATGATGATGCTACCATTTCTATAGGGATGAGTCCATTTGCTACATTTGGCGTGTACGAATTGAAATCAGTCTTGGACAAAACTTGATAGTCTAATAAGGCCCATGTTTGTTTATGGTTTCCAAATCTTTATCTTCCTTTCTTTGGACAAATGTTAGCTTTTTCGACCTTGTGGGCAGTCTGCCTCCCAAACGAATGCGAATGAGCTAATCGACCTTTGAGAACAGTGACAACTTTGTTTGGCTGAGATGTCTACAGATCGCCTACATTTTTCGCCAGGGCCCACGTTTGATTATTTCAAGATGCGCAATTTTCACGCAAGATTTTTCCAACACCAGCTTTTGGGCAGATCTTGGCCCAAGAATTGTTCCGAGTTGGCCTTTCGGCCGGATCTTCAACATCTTATTCTGCTGGCAAAAATTCAAACGTGGACACTGGCGAAACAAATAGGCGGTCTGTATGCATCTCAGGCAAAGCTGTGACTATTCTCGAAAGGTCGAACAGCTGATTCGCACTCGTTCGGGAGGCAGACTGCCCAAAAGGTCGAAAAAGTCAACATTTGTCCAAAGAAAGGAAGATAAAGATTTGGAAACCATAGTCTAAACATGGGCCTAACTGTTTCGCCCCAAAAATCATGCACGTACTCAGATCGATCGGCAAACAAACATACTTACTTGTACTCTGTCTGGCAGAAAAAATGTTGTATTTTGAGTAACACATATCGCCCCGGTGGTCTAGTGGGTAACCTCGCAGCCTGCGAAGGGCCAGGTCATGGGTTCGAGTCCCGGTAGAGAGAGTTTTTTTCTCACTAAATAAACCCTGGTCTAGGATGAAAGCGACGCGCTGCAAAGCTCGTTTGTTAGTAAACCATAATCGACTTCGTAAGTCGCGAGGGAAGGGATTGCTGTACCCTTCTCGCGATAAAAANATCCACCATCTGCATCCATCTATCTGTCTGTACGTATCACGTCTGGCCGCCCGGCCCATTTGCAGATGGGGGGCGGATCCGATCCACCCTATCTTCCTACTTTCAGCAGTAGTGGCACCCAAATAGTGAGATATCCCGGTTTAGTAGCATAAAAACCTCTTGTCACACTGAACTGTCAAAATGTACATGAACCCGACAGATCGAATAGTGGCACTGCCCTGCAAAAGTGGCATATTTTGCTCTTGCCCCTACATGCCACTATATTGGGACCATTACTGTACTATGGAGCCCCCTATTTCGTTTCGCTGTCATGCGCCTTTTTTCGGTGATACAGGTCGGATGCGTTCGACAGCTACCTCCAGTGTCTTGGTGCTCCACCAGAGATAATCCGAACACAGGCAAGCGGTGCATTAGAGAGGGGCGGGAGAAGCGAGAGAACGTGCCAAGAACATGGAGGGTCGAAAAAAGCGAGAAACGTAGGCTGACTATTGTACGTATGTATACCTAGCAATAGTCTACTTAGTTGTGGAGTGTGGCGAGACTTCTTATTAATTGCGCGGGTCACACGTTCTGGAAAATCCAGGCTCGGCAAAACTGAACGCACATTCGAGCCTGTTGTTCTGTAGAACTGCGGCATAAAGCCTCGGTACATGTTGCGAGTGCGTACCTACTTGCTCTCCTCTGTGTAGAGCGATGTCGCTCACGTTTGGAACAATTGATGATGTCTAAATAGCTGTTGAACTTGGCTCCCACAGTAATTCCTTCTACTGCTGTACAACCCAACTTGCGTAAAACGCTGTTCTCACAGAGCCTTCATTAGGGTGTGATACCATTCATTGTCGGGGGCTTTCGACGTTGGGGCAGATATCTTCCTTGTAGAGGTTTGAGAAGGGTTGGAAAGTCAAATTCGACCATCAGCACGGAGAAAGTTCATCGTTGACATATCCTGCAAAAGATGCATTCCAAACGCGGCCCTACCTTGCCGAGAGGTCGGCTTGGCCATCGATCATTGATCAAGCAAACAGCATGTCACGAGCTTTGGTTGCTCGTTGTGCTCGACTATTTGTTTCGATTTCGTTTCGACCAATACCACNGGGGCAGATATCTTCCTTGTAGAGGTTTGAGAAGGGTTGGAAAGTCAAATTCGACCATCAGCACGGAGAAAGTTCATCGTTGACATATCCTGCAAAAGATGCATTCCAAACGCGGCCCTACCTTGCCGAGAGGTCGGCTTGGCCATCGATCATTGATCAAGCAAACAGCATGTCACGAGCTTTGGTTGCTCGTTGTGCTCGACTATTTGTTTCGATTTCGTTTCGACCAATACCACCTTACTGCTGTGTTCTCTTGTAGGCGGTCGGAGAGCGAGAACATCAGAGTCGCAACGTGATCGCGCTGGACGAGTATCAATTGGTCATTCACAAGAACACAGCTTGCAACAACTTCACTGAGAGGTATGTACCGGTATGAACCCGAGCTCCTCCACAGACACACTCGACTGAAGTGTTTCATTTGTTTCCGGAACGGCTGCTCAGGTCTTCTGATGATGCGGTCAGCCAATGTGTTATGGTACTTGGAAAAGCCCACATGTAGTCGAACGAATTAAGAGAATGACGAGAGCTTGTGTGATGTGTTCAAGTTTGCGTTTCAGTGAAATTATCAGCAAGGCAAAGCAGGAGGAAGGAATATGTGATGCTTGCTTGACGTTCGTTGTCGTTTACTATTTCCAATACTAAAAGCACCTTCTTCGTGCTTGCAAACATACCCATTTTTAATGTGGCTTTGCGCTGTTCATGAAGACATGAGGCCCGACGAGTGACTAATGTCGAACAAGTCGCGCAGAACCGATCGGGACGTTTCACCCGAGAGTGAAAGTTTCACGAAGCGGAAACGGCATGTCCCTCGCACGGTTTGGAACGACTCGATGTGCATTTCGAACCAGGAGAATTCGTGGCTTTGGGGACGTCTCGCTGTCAGAAAAGCTCGCCAAAATAATTCGCATTCAAGGAGTTCCGGCCAACACGCCTGTTGGCGCCCTCGTCTTTGTGTCCTCGTCTGAAGCATGCTGGCAGTCACGTCCCAAGTAAAAGCAATTGTATTGCACATTGATACGAGTCCTTATGGGAAACCCTGACAGGATAGTACCGAACAATGAGGATTTCTGGTGAAGCTTTTCCTTGCATATTCCGTTTTGGCATCAAGCCATCCACATCAGTGGTCATCCCCGCGCGCAAGCGAGATCCGTAGTCGATCGTTCGCTGTGTAATCCATACTCTCGGCAGTCGACCATGCTGCAGTCATACAGAGCGCGGGTGCAAAGGGTTTCAACGAAATGACCCACCTTTCCTTCGTCGCCCACGTCCGTCCGTGTCGGGTGCCATCCTTCGCTCTCGGTCTCTCTCCCTCGCTCTTTTTCTCCCTCTGAAATAATAGTTGAGTGTATCTCTTTCTCTCTCATAGTCCAACAGTAACTCAGACGGTCAGTGCCACCCTTTGTCGCCAAGTATTTCGTAGATTAAAGTCTGCAGCCATCCGCGCGCGCCAGATTCGTGCGCACAACACGCAAACCCAACCATATGCAAACATGCATACATGTAGATCGAAGTCCACAGATATCTGGGCGCGTCAAGATATAGGTTCCATAGAATCGATGTTTGCAGACAGACAGGATTCGCCTGTGTNTGCAAACATGCATACATGTAGATCGAAGTCCACAGATATCTGGGCGCGTCAAGATATAGGTTCCATAGAATCGATGTTTGCAGACAGACAGGATTCGCCTGTGTATGATTTTGTTGTGTCGGAATTTGCAAGAATTCATGTTCAAGCAGTTCCAAGAGATTCAGACGTATATCTGCCAAACAGCCATCCATCCAGTTAGTTGTTTGTTTGTTGTTGTTTCTCACATTAGCTCTAAAAAAAAAAAAGATTGGG